CTCCATTGATGGAGTCAAAGCACACGGTTGGGGTAGTGGTGGCTGCACCCACTAGCATGGCATGCAGCTCCGCGTAGAAGCGGCTTGTTTGCGGCTCTGGCCCTGGACCTTCCGTTTGCCTCTCTGGCTTTGTGGTAGGCTTGCCTTAGCTCCTTAATTTTCACGCGGCACAGCTGTGCGTCCCTGTTATGGCCTCTGTCCTTCATGGCCTTTGAGACTTTTTTTCTAATATTTTGCCATTTCGTTTACTGCTACGGAGTTCAGCTAGCACTGATTCGTCTCCCCATATGGCGAGCAGATCCCGTACCTCCCGTTCTGTCCATGCTGGAGCTCTTTTGCGATCCTGGGACTCCATCATAGTTACCTGTGCTGATGAGCTCTGCGTGGTCACCTGTGCTCTCCATGCTGGGCAAACAGGAAATGAAATTCAAAAGTTCGCGGGGCTTTTCCTGTCTACCTGGTCAGTGCATCTGAATTGAGAGTGCTGTCCAGAGCGGTCACAATGAAGCACTGTGGGATAGCTCCCGGAGGCCAATAACATTGAATTCCGTCCACACTACCCCAAATCCAACCCACAAAGGCTGATTTTAGCGCTAATCCCCTCGTCAGAGGTCGAGTAAAGAAACCGGTTTAAAGGGCCCTTTAAGTTGAAAAAAAGGGCTTCGTCGTGTGGACGTGTCCAGGCTTAATTCGATTTAACGCTGCTAAATTCGACCAAAACTCGTAGTGTAGACCAGGCCTCAGAGATCCTGTATTTGGCACAACTGAATAATCCTAGAATTTTAAAATCCTGGCTTCAAATGCTACAAAGTTTATATTATAGAAATTTCCATACTCAGTGGAAAGAGGACCCTCTTATTAGATACTGGATTAGCAGATGTGATTCTCAGAAAGGTAAGACAATTTTCCCAGTTTACTGTCTCTTTCTATTACAGGCAGAGGTATGTGAATCTGCTGGATCGAATCCCCCAACAGATGAGAAACCTTTACAAAGAAATGATGGCGCAACGAGTAATGGACAGGCACATTACAGAAGAGTTATACAACTTCAAGGAATCTATTGGACAGCTGACCAGGTCTGAATCATGACTGATCCTCAGAAATCTACCTTCTGTGCAGTAGATTTGTTGGGCGTGCTTCTTGTCCATGGTTTCTGCTCCCATGTTGTATGCTGTGGGTCAGAGCAATATTGACCATCTCACAACTGTCTTCCTCTTATGCAAAGCTTTCCCCCCACATTCTTAGTACTAGTCCTGTAGAACTGTAGCATAGGATGGCAGCAAAGTCTCTTCCCTTTCTTCAAATCAGGGTGGATAACAATCAATGATTATCTAAAAAAATTAAAAACTCACATTTGTTTTAAATTTAAATTGAACTTTCTTTAAATTGAATTGAAAAATAAACCTATTTAAAAATAAATTTGAAATAATGATAGCCTATGTTAAGACCTAAGTGAATTATGATTTATTTAAATCATTTAAATTAAATAAAAAAATATTAAGTAGTGAATATTTGCTGCCAAGTTTTAAAGAAAGTCAAACCATTGAGCTGATGATAGTCACTTGCTAGGCATCTAGAACCAACGTATGAAGTGTTAAATTAGCTTTTGACAGCAGTAGCCTTTTCTGCTTGTTCAGAGAGAATATTTTCTTCATTTTAGTTTATTCGGGTAGTTCAGTTCAATGACTAGTTCATTCAAAGTTAAAAAACCACTTGGGAGTTGAAAAAGCAGGAAAGCTTGTTTTTCTCTTCCAAGCTATGAATAAAAACTACGCGTGAGAGGATGAGATTTACTAGTTCTAAAATGTTGAAGGACCTGGTGACCATAAACAGTAAGTTCAATTCATTAAATACAAATAATACCTTCTTTGTTTAATAAATTGGTTAATTTTAAATGCAAAACTTATTTTGATAAACTTTTTGATTTTTTGGGGGCATATTTCAACATATTTTAAATAGTTTTAATTAATAAATAAAATGCTGTTTTGGTGCATTTTTAATTGAATTTGAATTTCCATCGAAACAGAGCTTGACACAAATCATAAGTAAATAATTAATCATCATCTAGTAAGTATGAAATGCATCATTCACCATTTTCTAACTTAAAAAATGGAAAGCTAAGAATCAGAATAAATGTACGGTAAGCTATATTATTGCTTAAATGAATGTGTATAGGTATGGTGTATCTTCCTTGAATCACTAAACTTAGTGTAAGGACTATATTTGGTTGCAAATCAATATGTTTTCTGTTACCGATCAATGAGAATCAACCTTTCTTTAGGAAAATAACTAAAAAGTACTATGATTTAAATCAAGGTTTTCTGCTTGCTAATTTCAATCATGATTAAAATCAGTGATTTAAATAGCTTTGTTTTAAATCCATCCATCTTGTTTGAAATATTATGCAAAGCTGTCTGTAGAGGGAGAGCTTTAAGCAAAATGTGTGCACAAGAAGACCATAGAGTTTTGTGTGCACTGGAAGGACATAGATGAGATGATTGGCTGTTTGCGGAAGGGAAGCACACAAGACAGCTAAGGGCACTCTAGATTGAGATTGGCAGGTTGACTCTGAATTGTTCTGATTGCAGCAGGCTGTGAAATGACTGTTCTATGCTATTCCAGTGAGCTATGCGAGGTCCGAGAACATGACTTCAGGGTGACGAGAGAAGCAGAACGGGCCCATGAGGAGCTGGCTGATGCAGTGCGGGACGCTGAGCTGAATGCAAAGTGAGTTCCTTCAGCCCAGGGAAGGTTGGAGCGCAGGCAACGTTTCTGAAGCAATATGATGTCTTTGAGTTGAAGGCAAAGCACATACTACTTCTATTGTCTCACAGGTGATGTGGCACAGTGTTTACTCTCTGTGGGAAGGGCTGTGACACACTGATTTCTCTCTCTTTAGGGCATTGTAGAGGGGGTGTGGAATATTGATTTCTCTCTCTGTGTGGGAAACTGGTTATTTCTGTGCAGTATATCCAACCCAGTATACTGCACAGAAATTTCTCTAAATAGTGCCAAATTTCTCAAAGGGATAAGTTGTTTTAATGTTTCAAGTTTTAACCATTAAAAGTCCTTTGTATTTGTTGTCTGTGTATTTTCACATTTTAATGATTTTTACTAAGTACTGCCCCCTCCTTGTCCTCCCAGTTCTGAGTTCCCTGTCTCTTGACAGTCTGCAAAAAACATTACAGACCTCAATCTCTGAGGGGCCAACTGGTGCAGAGTGTGTCAGACTCCTGCATTGAGTTCTGAAACACCTGACCTAGGGAAGGTTGCGTTATGAATAGAACAGTCAGCCTAAGCCCAGCACAGACTTGTCTCCAGACTTGTTGGGAACTCACAATGGGAATATCAGTAAAAGGGCTTATTTGGGATTCAGGGAAAGGAGCTGTGGATTGGCAGGCCTGTGGAGTGTGGTAATAGAGGAAAGAGATCTGGCTGAAGCAGGTATCTGAGAAATGTTTGGGAGCTTGAGAAAGATAAAAAACTAGGTTAGGAGGAGGGGAATGTGGATTCCAGTAGTGTACCTCTGTCATCTTCTATGCAGTGTAGTTGTAGCTGTATCAGTCCCAGGATATTAGAGAAACAAGATGGATAAGGTAATATCTTTTATTGGACCAACTTTTGTTGGTGAGATAGACCAGCTTTGGAGCCACACAGAGCTCTTCTTCAGGTCTGGGAAAGGTACTCCGATTAAAATGTAATAAATTAAGTAAACTTATGCTAAACAATCTGTTCCACCTTGCATTTAGCTTGTCTCTCTCACCAAGAGAAATTGGTCCAATAAAAGGTATTACTTCACCCACACCTTGTCTTTCTGTCTTCTTCTCTCAGTCTTGTGGAAGAATATCGTGAGTTGTATGAGTTACAAAGAGCGAGGCTTGAGACCCAGCTGCTCCAGTTAACCCAAGAGAAAGAAATCTGGAGCTCAGCTACATATGACCTGGCAATGAAGGTAGGTACAGACAGCATCATGGAGGACACTGCCTTACTGCAGGATACAAACCATTGTAACCAAAACTCCTGCTCTAGGATTTCCAAAGCAGGTTTTGTTTAACTGAAATCTTGTACTCCCAGACCTGCCAAGACTGCTTGTCCCAGGGGACTACTGCTTTTTGGCCCTTTTAACTGTGGAAACTGACAGATATATATTACTTTTTCTGGTGCTGATCTTCAGGCTCAGTGCTAGAGGATTTCATATGAAATCAGAGAGTGGCTTGTGTATTTTCAGAAATAGTGTCACTAAAATGCTTCCTTGACTTTTTTCAAAGTTTAGATTATCCAACCCAGATTCCCTAGACTCTTTCTGTAATTTCAAGACTATATTTTACTTTCTTTTTCTACTGTGTCCACATTTGTGATCTCTTATTTTATCCTATTCAAGTTTAACATTTGCTGTGAGAACTTGCCTGGTAGTTTTTCAGGTTCTTCCTTAGGATGAGGCAGCAATAGTTCTGCAGAAACAGAGTGGGAACACTTTTTTTTTTGGCTCTCCGAGTTTCCCATGGACAACATTACTAGTCCTTCAAAGTATATCTGTTCAGAGTTATTGGAAATGGCTTGATATTTTTACATTTCCTTTTCAGATTTTTCCTTTTAAGAGATTATTAGTGGCCAGATTCTTCCACTCTTGCTCATCCTGAGTAGTGCCTTACTTCATCTCTTGAGGACTATTTTTACCAAGAAAAATACAATATTGGAAATATGGTACAGACATTTTTATTGGTATATTTGGTACCTATCATAAATGCCACATGTGGTTTCTGTTACAGTTTAACTTTAAAAGGCACATTATCCTGATGGTTTGTGCCTGAATTTGAGTAAGTTAATGCAAATTTACAATCTGTTGTTATTTGACCAAGGTTATTGCCTTCCAGAGTGCTCCACGAAGTTTCAAACCATGGGCTCTAGTGTTCTACTGCCGCTTTTACATACAGGAGCCATCTGCTTGGATGTAATTGAGCATGGGCTCACCATTGTTACTTATAAAATACTCGGATACCTTGCATATCATGTGGAATAAAAGCCAAAAGTTGCTGAGCAGTCTTTTAAATCTCCATCCCTACTAGCTGGGATATGTTGGGCTTTGGCCATCCTCCATCACACAGTGAGGCATTCTAAGGAGGTTCCTGCTGGCGTTTAAGCTCAAGCGAGGTAGTGTGGTAAGGAAGTTCTCTCCTCCTCAAGGAGTGTACTTGGATTGTTAGGTTGTGGATCAAACCGATGACAGTAGGTGGCTTTACCACACACTTTGGTTCTGCTGTTGTCGCATGCTGTTCATTTATTCGCTATGGTGGCCATTGGCACTTAGGTAGCCATTTTTTATGGAGTTCTGTTCTACAAACTGTACTCTGTGAGGCCTGTAACAGCAACATCTATTCAGATCTTTCACTCCAGATAGCAAGGCTGTAGTGTGTCTGGTGATGAGGGGAAACAGTTGTCCAGGGCCTGGGTTTGTAGTGAAAGGTGGGCCTCTCAGTGGGTCTGCACAGCAGGACGTGTGTGATGCGCAGCAGTGCTGGTAAGAGACTGGTCTGTATTTCCTGGCCCTTTCCCATGCCATGAGTCAGGGTTAAAATGGTTGATGCCCCTCTTGTATGTTGTGGGTCAGTACTCACCAACCACTTTGGACAGGGACAGTCTGCTAGTGTTTGGGTACAGCACCTAGCAATAATATGTGCAGCAGGAGGAGTTCACGCTAGTGCCACATGCTCCAGTGGGGGTCAGCCAGGAGCAGGTGTTGGGGAGACACAACGAGCGCTCACTGTGACAGTAGAAGGGCAGCCCTGGGCCATCCTGAGCCACCTGATAAGCCAGACAGGGCAAAAAGAGGCAACAATGGAGCAGGGGGCTAAAACAGTGAGGAGCAGAGACAAGGTAGTGAAAGAATTGGAGAGAGCCAAGGGAAAGGGACTGAGAACAACAGCAAAAGTAGATGAGGGGTGTTTGAAAGAAAAATGAGATGGGGCAGATATATGAGGGAAGCAGCAAATGGGAGGAGTAACCCCAAGTGGAGAGCAGAGACAAGGAAAAGCAAGGGCAGTAAAACATTGATGGGAAACAGACTCAAGGTGAGAGGGTGAGTCCTGCAGTGGAGGAGGCAGGCCTGGAAGAGATAGCTGCCTCTCTGGGGGCATGGGGTCACTGTAGGGGACAAGTCACAGGAAGGCAGAAGACTACTTGTCCTGGCCCTGTAAATCCTGTCACAGCTCTGCCCATAGTCTCTTATAGCTTAGGAAGTGCTAGTGTGAAGTCAGCTTTTCAAGGTATGTTTCTTACACAGTGGAGCTTGGGTCAGTTATCTCCCGGGTTGTTCTCTAACCTCCTCACCACTCCCAAAAAAGCCGGTATAAATAACTGTGTTCCTTGCAGGTGATCGAAAGAAACCAGCTCACGTTGTCTCGCAAGCTCTATGTCAGTGAAAAGGCATGGACCAAAGTCATCAGACACTTTATAGTGCTTCTGGCATCACAGGTAGAGTCCTTTTTGTGATGTATGACTGTGGTGTGGAGAAGGCTATGTTTGGAGAGCTTGTGTCTGTGCAGGGTCCATCTGTCTCAGTGCAGAATTTCATGCTTCCCAGTTACTATTTGAACTTTAAAGTTTTGGCTCAGGTTTGAATGAACAGTATGGTTTGAATAGGTTCTCTATCTCCCCTCTCTCTTTCTCTCTGTTCCTCTCCCTGCTGTTCCTTTTTCTCCCCTCCCGTCACTCTGTCCTCAACTCTCTTCATTTCTCTGTTTTCCCTTCTCTTCATGGCTTTTCCTTCTTCGCTCCCTCTGTTCATCCTCAGAAGACCAAGCCAAATCAATGCTAGTGTAATTGTATCCTCAACAGTGCTGGCCTTGCACATTTGCCTTCTGATGTTTCAGCACAAATACAAAACTCAGGTGCTGAGCTGAGTCATGTTTGCCTCAGTCCTAATGCCACTGGTGAAATGTCCAGCTCCCAAGGTCATTGCGTATGCTGTGGAACTGCAGAACATTTTCCAGCTAGCAGTCTGTGAAGTGGGTACTTCTTCAGACAGCTGAGTGGTCACTGTTCTGATCCCAGTGAAATGGAAGGTCCCTTGCCTTATGGCTCTCCCATTCTTTCTTGTGATGCACACAGGACACAGCAGACCTTTCCGATTTGCAGGAGATGACTGAGCAGTTCAGGGAGCTGTTGGACCGCATTGGAATTGAAGTGGAACATGCTGAAAACTCCAGCAGGGAGAAGCTGCGAGTGGTTCAGAATGGCCTCACCAAGTGGATGCAGTACTTCCAGGACAATGTTTTGTGAGTGTCCAGGAGTGATTGTTTAATTTGGGCAGTGGTACACTAGCTACCTCCACCACCTTTATGTGACAGAAAATTGCAGTGCACCAAACCTGGCAGCCCGTACTCAGGCAAGACCACCATTAACTGGAGGATTTAGCTCACTGGGTGCAAACTGCATACACCTTACATTATTCTGTTAGGTTTGACATCTGTTTATTTTGAAAACCTTGCCCACAGTTGAAATCTGTCAGCTCCAATATGGTGATGTAGACTTCTGTTCATGCCTTGTGCAATAATTCTATCTTACTCCCCGCTGAACAACAGAAAACAAAAGATTTCATAGTAAATTATGAGATCTATTTGTCTGTTACCATGAGGATTTTGAAGCGAATGGGGAGAAATGATCACCTAAGATGAAACATTACTAAAATACAGGCATTCAAGATAACATCCAACGCCTCAGAGGCCGTGTAGCTTGTAAGGTTTTTAGACCATCTATTTGTGCTGTGTTTTTTCAATGCCGAGCACAATGAGATCCTGGTTCATGACTGGGGCTCCTGGGACTTCCACAATGCATGTAATGAAGAATAATAATGACAAGGATAAAGGTTGATTGTCTCCAAACAAAGGGAAAAAATAAATAGTAGATCCTATCTAATGGAAGGACTATACTATATCCTAAGTACTAACACACACTAAGGGCTTGTCTACACTGGCAAGTTTTATCACCAAAAACTGGCTTTTGGCGACAAAACAGTGATAGCGTACCGTGTGTATGCAGTGTGACTTTTTCCAGAAAAAAACCGCCTAGTTTTGGCAAAAAAAACTTCCACCCCTGCGAGATACTTTTGTCTTTTCTCCTCCCTTTATTGTTGACAGACATGCAGTGTAGACACCACAGGGTTTTTTTCAATTTTATTGGCCTCCAGAAAGTATCCCACAATTCCCATGCTGCCGGTTTGAACTCCGCTGCCCTGCAGCCAACTCACCCCTCCCCCTTGCAAGCCCCGGGAATTTTAGATTTAATTTCCTGCTTTCTGGCTTCCCAGAGGAGCTTCCCAGGTGAGCATGACTGGCTATCGCATCAAACGCACTCCCACTTGGACCACTGATGAGTTGTTGGATCTGATCATTATATGGGGAGAGAAGTCTGTTCAGTCGCAGCTGCAAGTGACCTGTAGGAATCAGGACACATATGGGCAGATTTCTCGAGGCTTGTGCGAAAAGGGCTATGATCGGGACACGCAGCAGTGCAGAGCGAAGATAAAGAAGCTGAGGCAGGCATACCATAAGGTGCAGGAGGCGAACCATCACTGCCGCTTCTATAAGGAGCTGAATGCTATCCTCGGTGGTGACCCCACCTCCATTGCCGATAGCCCCATTAGGGTGACCAGATGTCCCGATTTTATAGGGACAATCCCGATTTTTGGGTCTTTTTCTTATATAGGCTCCTATTACCCCCCCCACCCCTGTCCCAATTTTTCACATTTGCTGTCTGGTCACCCTAAGCCCCGTGGATACTTCGCAGGCAGCAGAAAGAGGGGGTAACTCACAGGCTGAAATTCTGGATGAAGAAGTCAAGCTGGAAGAGGATGTGGTGCTCCCAACGGGGTCGCCCGGTGGGGCAGGCAGACAGGAACTTTTCTCCACTCCAGAAGTGCTCAACGGGGAGCAGGAAGCAGATGAGACACCGGGTAAGTTGCTGTGGCTTATGTAGGGAATCAAAAAGTGGGAGGCGGGTAGTGTTTTCTGTAAGCTGGACATTGCCCTGTGTAGCTATTCTGCATGGCCAAGCAGGGTGTCAATGGACATCGAGACCTGTAGGGAATCCTCCAGAGAGAGGCTCTGGAAAGTTTCCAAGAGGTACTTATTAATCCTCTGCCGCAGATTCCAAGGGATGGCAGCCTTGTTAGTTCCCCCATTGTAGGAAACTGTACCATGCCATTTAGCAATCACTGGAGCTGGGACCAAAGCAGCACATAGCTAAGCTGCATATAGACCGGGGTGAAAGCCACAAACATTCAGCAGTTGTGCCCTGGTTTCTCTGGTCACCCGCAACAGCGAGATGTCAGCCAGCAGGTTGGTCGCCTGTGAAAAAGTGTGGGATAATTTTAGAATGAGTTCCCTGAAAAGCTGCCCTGCAAGCCGTGACCATTTTGTCCGTACGCACAATCGCCTTCCCCCACTCCTGACACTCACCATGATTGGGGTGCTCGCGAAGCTGTGTGCCTGCCTAGAGTCTCAGAAAGAAAGTGATTTCTACTAGGAAATACCCTTTTTACTAAAATGTTTCAATCATTTGCTGGAATGTAACAATCCCTCTTCTGTTCAGCACAGACCTTGAAGAACACACCACGCACCCTAGTGGACCGGCTTTGGCAGATAAGAAAAAACCATAAGCGTAGAAAAGAAGACATGTTCTGGGAGGTGCTGCATCACGATGAGAGACAGACCAGGGAATGGAAAGAGTGCTGGGAAGCCGAAAGGCAGGACAGAAAAGAGAATGCTGCTTTTGCCAGGCAAGCAACAGAGCGGATGATAAAAGTTATGGAGGATCAGACAGAGATGCTCAAGTCTTTGATACAGCTGCAGACTGAGCAGATCTGTGGTCGACTTCCACTGCAGCACATCCAGATGCAGGATTCTTTGCCAATCCCACACCCCTCTATGCCCACACATTCCTTTTCACTTCACAGCACTCCTGAGTTTCCCCATCACTTCACCCCTTCTCACAGCTTGCACAATGATAGCTGGAGCTACACACAGTTGTGAGGTTTTACCCTTTTTAACAATAAATAAAGACTAAGGTATTTAATGGTACAGCGTTTTTATTCTGTGTTCTACAAAAGCGTATAGCATTCAATTCACTCTCGGGAACAGGCTTGTAAAGCATTGTGTTGCATAGATCTTGGGCCCCAAAATTGTACATGGATGCACCTGGGAAGCAACTCCAAAGCAGACATGTATTACTGCCCCTCATTGTCAAAGTGGTTCCTCAAAGCCTCTCTGATGTTAATAGCAGCCCTCTGGGCTCCTCTGACAGCCCTAGCATCTGGCTGTTCAAACTGTGCAGACAAGTGCTCTGCCTCAGTGCTCCACACCTGAGCAAACATGTCACCCTTAGAGTCACACAGATTATCCATAGTGCAGCATGTGGCTATGACCATGTGCAGTGGCGAGCCAGGTTCTGAGTGTAGGGGGAGCAAACATAAAAAAGGCGTCCCCCCCCTTGGCTCCTCCTCTGGTCACGCCCCCCCATGGCTCCTCCTGTTCCCCCCCCCCAGATTAACCCCGGGGCCCGACTCAGGACTCCGATGGGCTTCCCGGTGGTGTGGATATCCCAGTCCCCCCGCGGTCCCGGGAGAGTCTCTCCTGCCCAGCCTGCTCTGCAGGTGTCCCCGCTGGGGTGCGCCGCCCGGCCCCACCCGCGGGGTCCGTCCCCCCCCCGCCCCAGGCTCCTGCACCGTGCCAGAGCCTGTCCCTGGCTGATCCCGGCCCCGCGCTGCGGGCGGATCCAGCTCATGAGTCGCTGGCTGAGCCTCGCTCCATGGCGCTGCTGGGCTGGGCCGGGCTGGGCCCTGACCCTCCCGTTGCTCTCCGGGGTAAACGCCAGCCCGCTCCCGGCGCTTGGTGTGCTCCACGCGGGGCTCGCCAGCCAGGCGGCCTTAAAGGCGCAGGGGCCGTTTCGCCTCCCCCAGCCCACCGCGATGGGCTGCGGGGGCCGCGAGCCACTGCCGGGAGATGCTGCTGCTGCCGCATTAGCAAAGGGCAGGGAGCGCTTGGCCGCCAAGCCCTGAGCTGCCGCAGGCAGGAGGTGGCTGCGGCGATGTTGGGGCCGCGCTGAGCGTGGGGTGCGATGGCCAAGGAGCCGGCCCCCTCGCTCCTCCGGCCGTGCCCGCCCCCGCCGCCCCCCCATGGCTCCTCCGGCCATGCCGGTGGCAGGCGCCGCCTTTGGAAAATGTGCTGAGGGGAAGCGGCTGCTTCCCCTGCACCCCGCTAGCTACGCTACAGAATATTATCCTCGGTAAGGTCTAGCCTGCCATTGAGACACCTCCAGCGAGCTTTCAAACGGCCAAAGGCACATTCGACTATCATGTGGCACCTGCTCAGCCTGTTGTTAAAACACTCCTTGCTGCTGTCCAGGTGCCCTGTATAAGGTTGCATGAGCCAGGGCTATAAGGTGTAAGCCGGGTCTCCCAGGATTACTATGGGCATTTCCACATCCCCCACTGTGAACTTGTGGTCTGGAAAGGAAGTCCCTGCCTGCAGCTTTCTGTACAGGCCACTGTTTCTGAAGATGCATGCATCATCCACCTTTCCAGACCAGCCTGCATTGATGTCCATGAAATGCCCCTGGTAATCCACAAGCGCCTGCAACACCATGGAGAAGTATCCCTTCCTATTGATGTATTCAGAGGCAAGGTGGTCTGGCACTAAAATTGGAATGTGTGTGCCATCAATCACCCCGCCACAGTTAGGGAACCCATCTCTGCAAAACCATCCACTATTTCATGCACATTTCCCAGAGTCACGGTCCTATACAGCAGGATGCGATTTATTGTCCTGCACACTTGGAGTAATACAGCCCCAACAGTGGACTTTCCTACTCCAAATTGATTTGCAACCAGTAGCAGTCTGGATTCGCCAGCTTCCATAGTGATTGCAACGCGCTTCTCTACCGAAAGGGCAGCTCTCAGTCTGGTGTCCTTGCGCCGCAGTTCGAGGGACAGCTCAGCACATAGCTCCATGAAGGTTGCTTTACGCAGCCTAAAGTTCTGTACCCACTGGTAGTCATCCCACATCTGCATGACAATGCGATCCCACCAATCAGTGCTTGTTTCCCTAGCCCAAAAGCGATGGTCTACCGTATGCAGCTGCTCTGTGAATGCACAATGCACAGATAAGTTGCTGCTGTCCATATCACACTCGGAGGCCTGTGATTCATCCTCTGCTAACTTTGCAAGTAACTCTGAGAGTAACTGTGCTGCCATGCGCGATGTCCTCACGACAGCTAACAGCACATAGGAGAGAAGTGCGGGATCCATCCTCTCTCACTGCAGATGCTGGTGCACACTATAAAAGAATGACAGTTGGAAAAAGGGTGCGAAAGGAAGCCAGAAACCTTTGAAAGGGTGGGACAGAAAGCGGTGCATGACAGTACATTTTGCACATCCCAGGATGAGCCGTGCTCCGTTTCCACATTCCCACAACACCTAGCGATGGATGGTGTCGCCAGGCACTGTGGGATACATACCCACAGTCCATTGCTCTCGCTGTCGACAAAGATGCCCCGAATGTGGACATGATCTGTCGACAGTGGGAGCAAATGTAGAACCGCTTTGGCAACTTTGCTTTTGTCGATTTTTCCTTGTCGAAATTGTTTCATCGAAAAAACTTGCCAGTGTAGACAAGCTCCAAAACAAGGCTTCTTCAGTGGCAACGTTAGGTACAATACAGTCTTTCTTAAGGGGGAAAGTAGAGAGAAAACAATATAAAACAACTAAACACTTTTAATACAATGTCCTCAAATAATAACCGTGGCTTGTTTTTTAAACAGATCCTAGGTATTGAATCCTGAAATCCATTTCTGTCTATGAATCCAGATTGTAGAAAACTTCCTACCACAGTAAACCTACGAGTTATGAACACCTCAGAAATAGAGGTTGTTTGTAATTCTGAAATGTCTGTAACTCTAAACAAAACATATATTCATAGATTCATGGATTCTAGGACTGGAAGGGACCTCGAGAGGTCATCGAGTCCAGTCCCCTCGCCCGCATGGCAGGACCAAATACT